GCTCAGCCCATCTAGTCCCTTCCCACTTTCGCCTGCCAAGTGAGGTACATGAAATTGGACACTCCATGTTGTCCTCTTTTCTCACTAGGCACTCGGGCTATTTCCCCCGGATATTAATCTTGTTGGTAGACGCAAATCTTGTCTACTTTTCTCTTGCTTGAAAACAGACATGAACATTGAGTAGACCTTTGTTTGGAAGAATGTCTTCCTGTTTTTTGGTACCTTCTTTATGAAGGGAAATTGAGGTCTGAGGAAATAGCCTTGAACAGAAGATACTTGAGCTCATCAAGGTTTGTCACAGGTCAGAAGAAGAATTGTTTCCTGGTACTGGATTGTATGTTTATGATGAGAACACATATTGTGTGTTTTTGTATTAATATAGTGTATTTAGTAAGGAATTGACTAATAGTCCCTTCTTTGTGTAAGAAATACAGGTGTAGAATATAGGGATCTGAAAATTATCTTTTCTTGATAGGACATTTCTGTGATGGTTTAATGTTAATGCTCTGTTTGACTTCATTGTGGCAGTGCTTATTTATTAGTGTGCATAATTTTTTTCTAAAAGTGTCACAATCTCTCTGTTTCTATCTAGACTGAGTAAAGTTCATAAAAGAATGACTATTGACCTGAGAGATCCATGATTGCTTGTATGCACATGTGACTATATTCAGGTGTTTTATGTAATATACTTATATTTTAATCTAGCATGGTTGTAGACTGGAGCTAAAGTTAATGTATGCTAATGTGTGCTTTTTTATACATGGGAATTTTGTATGTTGGGGAAGCAGACTCACAGCTGTATTCTCCCCTCACGTCTTATCTCTTCTTATGTCAAGCAGCTCATAGTAGAATCCTCCTTAAGCCAAATGAACATCTGTTTGCACATAGGACTTCACGTCCTCAAAGTTATGTGTGGACACTCATTACCTCAACAGTGCCATGTTTCTGTTCTTGGGACTATGACAGTGACTAAATTCTTATGCTGTCACATACATCTTTGTTCAAATCCTTAATCTTGACTCTTCATAGCTTTATGACATTGGGTTGAACTCTGTAAAGGTCAAAAGCCTGAATTGTGAAATATACTAAGACTAAAGGTTTATCCCCACATGCGTTGTGTTATAAGCATGCAACAAGTGAGACATTCTCAACTTGTGACTCCGTTCTTAATTATCCAAGAGAGATTGTTTTGGCAAGAACAGAGGAAGCGGACATTTAAATACCATGTGTCAAACTTGACCTCGCTCCTTCCCTTCTTCATTTTTGAATGTGTGTCCAGCTGTTCCATTCACAGAGGATGAAGCCTCCCTGGTCATCTACTGGTTAAAATTTGACACCCTTACACTCAGAGTGGTTTGAATCTGGACATCTTTTGCTTATCCAGCCATTAAAGCTGAGCACTTATTTGACCTCTAACTTCTGATTTTCTTCTAGAGATACTATAATTGCAAAAATCTTGATTTAGTAAATGCCAATGGGTTGTCAGATCTGTTACAGGTTTGTTACTATGCCCTTCCTCTTCCCACTGACATGATTGCTTACACCCTCTGATCCTCTCTACTCTTAAAGTTGCATATTACCAGCTGTATATGCCTTGGAGTGGTGGTCATTCCATGGATCCCATTTCCTGGACCTCTGTATGTGTTCTCCAACTGTGATTTAACTCTGACTAGATAAGGTGTCATTCTCCATGGCAATAACCTCTCAGGGATCCTATGCTCAGGATTAGGATTCACTGAGTACTATGAGGCCTTCAGTGTGTGCTTTCACATTGTTTATTCATACTAGTAACATGCAAAAAAAATAGAACTACTGGAATTTTTGTTTTAGAGGCACTCAGTAAATGTTTGCTGACTGTGGAATTAAATCACATAAATGTTCCTTGCAAATTTAATTCAGAATTTGACTTGAATGTTGGTTTGCCCAGAAAAAGCTTGATGTAGCCCTATTGTACAGGCATGGCTATTTTCTAGCATCACCTTCTACTCTCAGTGTCTGAACATGAGCATACATAGTAAGCTATAGGTCATCTGACACATGAATATTAGCAGTTAACCACGCAGGTGGCATGGTGTAACTTTAAAACCCTGAAATATTTTCAGATAGGGCTGAGAACTTCCTTTCTATAAAATATTTTTATTGAAGACCTGGAGAGATGCCTCAGCAGTAAAGAGCACTGCCCTCTCTTACAGAGGATCAAGGTTTGCTTCCCAGTATCCACATGGTGGCTAACAATGGTCTGGAACTACAATTCCAGGGGGATCCAACACCCTCTTCTGACCTCTTCACCCACTGCATGACACAGGTGTACTTACATGTATGCAGGCAATATACTCAATCACATAAAAGAAAAATAAATAAAATGTTATTTTATCAATTCTTTTAGAATTTCATTAATGTATTTTATCATCTATTTCACTCTCATTTCTATGGAACAACATTTTTTTATTGCCTAGGCTGAGCCAGAATTCAGTATGTACTTGATGCCAGACTCAAACTCATAATCCTCCTTGCTTTGCTTCCTTAAGTGCTGGGATTCCAGGTTTGCAACACAACTCCTATCCTGGATTTTCTAAAAAATGAATGAAATTGTAGGACCAGTTCAATGGTAAAAAGCATGGCATCCTGTCATATTAACAGCATCAGGAATTTATTGAGTTGGACCAATTTCTTACCAACCCTGAGATTTTGTTTCCAAATTTAGATGTCTAAATTTGATAATACAACGCTATTAATATGCCTAGTAAGAGCTCATTCAGCACCAATTATGATCAATGCTGTGGTAAATTTTCAGAACTGGTCATGATTAGATGGTTGCAAATCTACTATGAATTGAATAGATTTTCAAACTCCTATAGCATAGTAAGGTTTCTGCCACGGAAAGTTTCCTGGGGCAAAATCTTAAGTCTATTGTTGTGGATGCCTTGTGACAGAGAGAGAAGTGAGGAGAGCAGAGGAAGGATGTAAGGAGAAAAGAAGGAAGGAGGAAGGAGACAGGGAGAAGGGAGATAGGGATAGAAGAGAGAGATCGGAGATGGAAAGAGAGAGGGAGACAGGATAGAGTTAGGCTTGATGAAGAGAAAATGTTTCTACTGTCATTACTGCTATTAGGGATTTAATTCCAATCCCTATAGTCTAGCATCTCTGTTACTGCATCCTCAGGGGCTGTGAAATTCAAGGTTAATGAATTTTTTATGTCAGAACTGGGTCTGATCTAATGCCCACCACACTTGTCCTATTGTAGTATTTATCATGGGTAAATATGGCCGTGTATAGGGATCTGCGATAAGATTATTACCTGCATTAACATATATTTCCCTCAAATCTGTATACATAGATAACAGGGTTATTCGTTTGTAGAAGGAACTGAGATAAACGCAAGTAAAGTGGCCCAAGGAAATTGAAGAAGTAAATTTCCTAGGCAGGGACCATTTTAAGCCTCCTGGTAAGAAGGTTGTAGCTATGGTTCAGGATTCTGTTAAATGCTTATAGGATGTGTACTCCAAGAGGAATTTTATTATCTGATATGTTTCCAGTGCTGAAAATACTGTTTAGACCATGTGTGAAATAAGTGAACAGATTTCATTCTTTCTCAAAGGAAATCTTGTTAACATTGGAAATATACCATGCTCAATTTGAAGCCAATTTGAGATTCAGACTGCAAAATTGCAGCTTGTCTGAATTTTGATGCAGTCCCCTGGAAAAATGCATGCATATTAGGTCCACCTGGGGAGGATCTCAGGATTCTGACAGTTTTTTCTCCCTTCTTTCCCAGTAGGAAGAGGAACATGAGGAGAGGGAACCAGAGCAGTGTGTCTGAGTTCATTCTCCTGGGGCTCCCCATCCAGCCAGAGCAGCAGGGCATCTTCTTCACACTGTTCCTGATCATGTACCTGACCACGGTGCTGGGGAACCTGCTCATCATCCTGCTCATTAGGCTGGACTCTCGCCTCCACACCCCCATGTACTTCTTCCTGTGCCACCTGGCCTTCTCTGATACCTCCTTATCATCTGTCACCGTCCCAAAGATGCTCAGCAACATGCAGACTCAGCACCTGTCCATGCCTTTTGAGGGGTGCATTACTCAATTATATTTTTTCTTGCTCTTTGTAGCTGTTGACAATTTTCTTCTTGGAGTGATGGCATATGACAGGTATGTGGCCATCTGCCACCCACTGCACTACATGGTCATCATGAAGGAGGAGCTGTGTGACTTATTGGTGGCTGGATCTTGGTTCCTCTCTTGTATGCGTGCCCTGCTGCACACCCTGCTCCTGTCCCGCCTGTCCTTCTGTGCTGACAACACTATCCCCCACTTTTTCTGTGATCTCAATGAACTCCTGAAGCTGACCTGCTCAGATACCTCCCTCAATGAGCTCGTCATCTTCACTGAGGGAGGTGTGTTGACTCTCCTGCCCCTGGGTACTATTTTGGGCTCTTATATATGTATTGGTTTTACTGTCCTAAAAGTCCCCTCCACAAAGAAGATCTGCAAAGTTCTGTCCACCTGTGGTTCCCATCTCTCTGTGGTGTTTTTGTACTATGGGACTCTTGCAATCATTTATTTTATTCCTTCCTCAAACAATTCCAAAGTCAAGGATGTAATTGCTTCAGTGATGTATGCAGTAGTAACACCCATGCTGAACCCCTTCATCTATAGCCTGAGGAACAGAGACTTGAAATTGGCTCTGGGACTGCTAATTAAAAGAGGGCTTGTTTTTGTCAAGTCAGTCTGGTGGAACTAACCTCCTTGGGTGTTTAACAGCCATACTTTGAGGCCTATACTAATTTGGTCCAACAGACATAAAGGACAGTTTTTGCTCCTTGCCCTCCTAGCTTAACAAAGTTCCAGAGGACTATGAGCATCTCTCAAAATGTCCTGTATCTGCAGTGAGTCACCTGTCCTCTTGATCAAGAAGGCCATGGAGACCCCACCAGATGGACCTGAACCAGTTTTCAGTCTACAAAGAGGAGTATCAACACAGAGTAAACATTTCCTCCATACTTCCAAGTGAAGCCAGCCATGGTCAAGTAGGACCTATGACTTATCTTCACATAGATGGAACTGGTAAAAGGAAGAAGCCAGGGGCTCCTCCCAAGCCAATGTGATGCCTAGAGAACAGATCCTCAAACTGCCTTATGAGTAAAAATAAATAGTTTTATCTGGGCAAACTGTATGGCCTTAAACACTTAAAAGGAACATATAACCAAAGAATAAAGGGGTCAATATAATTTTTTTAAGAGTCCATGTTTATAGCTAAAGGCTACATAACAAGAAACAATGCCAGACAGGAGATACTTTCCTTTGAGTTGTTGGCCAGGGTGACCCAAGAGACTCCCAGACAGTAACCCAGCATAGAAGTTGGAAAATGAACAGCAGACCCCAATCGTATCTAAAGGAATATTGACAACTGATTACTGTTAGATGAGGAACAGCTTATCTTCCTAAAACAAGGAACTCTAGATGGGCTGACTAGATTCAGTGGATGAACAAGCACTGTGGAACAGCTGTTGGCATTGACAACACAGCCATCAGTAACAGGGATGACAGAATATTTGGTCTCCATTGTTTGTGGGGGTGGTAGGCTATGGGAGGGTGCCATTTGGGAAGTGGGTATATAGATGAATAAGATTGTTTTGGATGTTCTGTATGATATGCACACACAAAAAAATCAACAAATTAAAAATGAGTTATATTTGAGGAAGAAGCATTAAAAAAGTGGCTGTAAAGTTTTAGGTTCACAGTTGAATTAATACAGTCATACAGTATTGAACTCAGTATAAACCCTATAAGATATAAAATTTAATGAGGTTTTAACATTTAAAAAAGATCACATTTTCCTTTTAAAATATCCTGTTTCATACAACAAAAACCTCATTTTTAATGCTACTAACACTTAGATGTTTGCACATGCATCTCTAATCTCTATGTATCTGATTATTATTAGTCACAGCTTGCTACACTCAGATCCTTTGCACCTGAGTATGGATATAAAGTCATCAGGTAGATTTCAATGGTACTGTGTTTCACCTCTGCTAATTAATGTGAAGTAAATTTTTATGCTTCTTCCTCAAATTTTTATTTGTTGATTTTTTTGTGTATATATCATACAGAACATGCCAAACAATCTTATTCATTTGTATACCCACATCCGAAATGGCACCCTCCCATAGCTTCTCCACCCCCACCCACTGGAGCCCATATACTCTGTCACCCCTGTTACTGTCCACTGTTTTTTCTAAGTAGGACTTTCTTTACAGAATAGTCCACCTGTGGAAGTTTAATTCTAGGTTTTGAAATGAGTTTTTTTTTTGCTTCATGGGTGTCAGTATTTCTACATAAGACATGCTCAGCACTCATGGGCATAATATTTTACTTTGACATTTATTATGGGTCCATTGTC